ACACATCTGCTACCATTTTTTTGTCCAAGTCAAACCAATGATGGACTGTTAAATTGCATTTGTATGCCAATAAAATTAAAGATCCATTAGAACAAGTTAGATTAAGTCAAAATGAAAGTTAACTTATGTTCAAGTCCAGCCTCTAGTTCAGCCATCTAAACAACAACAAACATGGAAGTCAAAATGAAAGTTAACTTATGTTCAAGTCCAGCCCCTAGTTCAACCATCCAAACAACAACAAACACAGAATAGGTTTAGGTCAGTTAAATTGAAGTTTCAAGTTCAAGCTTCCATATTTGGTTAAACTAATTAGCTTCAAACAAATTTCATATGCTACAGCTAGAAGGAGAGGTTAAAGTAAGAAATGTCTATACCAAAACTTAGAAACCCTAGAGTTCAATCATTAGTTTTAGGACAATCGTTTCTCTATACAACCATTTAACCATTTTATTAAACTCTAGAAATTATCAAGTTTCAAATAAAGTATATGTCAGTAAAATTAGTATTGATTTTCAACAATTCATATTTCCTATGTGTATAGATGTATAATGAGGGTATTCGTCTATGCTTCTGCTTTTGGAAAAGTAATAATTTTAAACATAGGATCCAAAAGCATATTTGAGTTTGGCTTTTTCTTCTGCTTTTCTACATACGGAGTACATATCTTTATTAGAGAGAATCAATTACCAAAAGCATTGTCAAACACAAATGGCTTTTATTTAACTCAGAAGCTAAGAATCAATCACCAAAGGGAATGTCAAACACCCTCAATGAGTCAATGTATTGAAGAACTTTCATTTCGATAACTAAAGAAAATTCATTTGTTGAGTGAAAATTTCAAAAAGAAAATGATAGAGATGAGGTTTGCTTTAAATAAATATCGCACCTAATCTCTTCCTTGCACAACCATAGTAGTAGCTTTGGGCTGGTGGTGTCCGCAGGGTGTAGAAAGCTACAATATCACAACAATTAAAATTATTGCACAGGCAGTAAGCAAAAGCAATAAGTAAGCAGAAGAAATAAGTATGAATGTGCTTGAGATTTAACTGCTTAAAATAAGTAAAAAGCAGGCACATACTTCCTTTTAGTTTATAGAGTTTAAACTGCTTAAAATAAGCAGTAAGCAAATTTTTTAAGTTAGTTTATCAAAAACCAAAATTGTAAAAGCCGCTTAAATAAGCAATAAGCAGACTTTTATGTTTTCTGAAACACTTGCACTATAAAATAAAAATCGCTTACCGTATCCATTCCCGTATTCTGCCACTCCTTCAAGTAAAATATGGTTTAAAGTAGAAACTTACTCATTGAATTCAATGACATTCAATAGACCATCACCATCCGTATCTGATGCATTAAAGTGCTCTTCTTTCCACCAGCCCATTTCATACCCGACTGAATTGCTTTCTGGTGTATGACACATTTTCAAAATAAGTTAACAGTGATATATAACATCATAATTACTATAGGAGCAAAGTAAAAATGGTAGTGTTGTGTCATCAAAGCTGATCAAGCAATATTCATCCTACTTTTTTAAACACAAAACCCCAACAATTAGCGGAAAATATAAACAGCATTACCCACTTTTCATGCAAAAATGAGAGGATATGACCAATGTGAAAATTTTGGAAAACAAATAACCAATAAAATAAATTAACTAGAAGTTCAGTGCCAGGAAAAGAGGCAAGAGAAAATTTTGAATGGCCTTTGCGTACCTTAATATGGTTATTATTAATATGCTCTAATCTTCAAGAGTTGCATACTCACAAGTCACGTGCAATGACTTTGTATTATCATTCACAACTGACTACCATTAATCTAAAATGGAGCAAAAACATTGGAATTTTGGTAGGAGATTGCTGTTACTAGATTGTAGTTTTTATATTTGCTTGTATGGAGGTCTGGTTGGGCCGGCATCCTTTTATTTTGTTGTTGGTGTTCTCAATTCCATTGTAAGAAAAAAAGCACTTTTTATCCACTCCCAGCACATGCATTGACTTATACAATGGAGAGCAAAGAAAGATTTTTTAAAGGACATATACCAGTATTAAGTTTAAAAAGCTTCCTCTTGACCAACATCTCGCTTATGCTACTAGATTTGTACTATTTCAAATTATCTTATGGCCTGTTCGGTATCTTAAAATTGGATTTAAAATTCATATTTGACCCAAATTACATGTTTGGAATCCAAAAAAATTGGATTTGGATTTGGACCGAATTCCTCGAATTCCCAACAAAGCTCCATTACAAATCCATACGCTCCCCCTTGTAAGTTCAAATCCAAGAATTCAAATTTCAGAATTGAAATCCAAGAATTCAAATTTCAGAACTGAAATCCAAGAATTCAAATGAATTCTTAGCAAATTCAAAAGAACATCTACCCCAAAAAAATCCTGCTCAATAATGGATTACAGAACATCTTCCCAAAAACAATCAGACATCTAAGAAAAGAAAACAAACAAATGTTGTGGTAAAGAGCCTTCCTTTTGAAAGAATTGACTGGATTGATCAGTTGAAATAACTGAACTCACCTGATTTCTGCACCCAAGAGGGTGGTTCGTACTCGGAGAACGATACGTACCCATCGCGATTCTTGTCATGAACCTCCATCTCCCTCTCGGTCCTGTGCAGCACCTCCTTCCTGCTTTGCTCCGTGTTCCACTCAGTCAACTCGTGCTCACTCACGAACCCATCCCGCGGATCAACATCGATCTTCGGGAACAGCAGGACGAGCCGATTCGTCACATTGAACTTCTCCTCATCGTTGAGATAATCCTCGGCGTCCATGAAGTCCTCCCACTCCGGCTGCCCTTCCTCGCCGGGGGCATGTTCCACATGAGTCTTCAGCTCCGGGTGGTGAGACTCTATGTACATCTTCTCCCATTCCTTGTCCTCTCGCTTGCGCTCGATGTCGGCCACGAGCGGGTCAAAGGGGATGCGATGGTGGCCGCCGCCGTCGGCGGTGGGCGGAGAGAAGGTGAAGTTGGAGCGGAGCTTGAGGCGACGGTGGCGGTGTGCCTTGTTGCCCTTCTTGGGAGAATGGGAGACGAGGAGCAGGAGGAGGACGGCGATTGTGATGTAGATGATGACCGAAGCTTTACCCATCTCCCAATCTACACATCTACTGCGAATGTTGGATGCAAGTAAAAAGATGGAGATTTATACCTACGTACCTCTAATTATAATTCTCAAATTAAGGCTGGGTTCACTTCAATTTATTTTGATAAGTTCTGATATGATCTGATTGGATCTGATCTGATCTAGTCTGATTTAATCTGATTAAATCTGAATTGATCTAATCTAATCTGATTAATTATGATTTGATTTAAAATTAAAATCAATAATTTGATTTGACTTTATATAACGTTTGAAAATTGTAATGATAATTCATATTATAATATAATCATTTTTTTTAATTTATGATTATTTTTTAATACAATAAAATTAATTAATTCATATATTAGAATAATTATTCATATTATAATGTAATAATATTTTTAATTTTATGATTATTTTTTTGTGAAATTAAAAGAGATATTATTTTTAATAAAATATCTCATCCTTATAAAAGATCAAAACTTTAGAAACTCAAATGACAAGTAGCAATAAAAATGTATTTTAAAAGTAGAATTAGATTAACATTGTCAATGTATTTTAAAAATAATTTTTCTGACGTCTAATAATTAAGGAATACTTTCTCAGTTTTTTCTATTTAACTTGTTTCTAAAATTTATTCTTTTTCATTTTTAAGAATAAGAATGATAATAATTATGATGATGATGATGATAATAATAATAATAATAATAATAATTCTTGATGGGATCTGATCTGATTTGATCTGGTATGATCTGAGGATCTGATCTGATTGGATCTGATCTGATCAGTTTCGATCTGGTCTGATCTGATTTTAATAAGAATAAGAAAAATAAGTTGAACGGAACGGGGCCTAAGTCATAGCACATGGGAGACAAAGGACTTACGTTCAAACATTATGATCCATTTTAGCGAGAATTCAAATGTCTTTTAGTCATAGCACACATTTGTTCTTGATAAAAAAAGTTTAGAAATTCATCATAGCACATATTTGTTCTTGATCAAAAAAGTTTGAGTTTTATCCGATTGATTTTGGAGTGTACGCCTAACTAATCAATCTGTAAGTGTTAGCACCGCTCTCAAACAAATTCGTGTCATTTACGTATTTCCTCAACACAAAATTGATATTAAAATGTTTAAAAAAAGTAATATAAAGTGTGGGTTACATACATATTATTACTCCTTACTATACACACTATTAGAATCTAAAGTAGCAAGACATAAGAAAAATAAAAGAAACAAACATTAAAATATACTATATAAATTATTCTACAAAATATAAAATTTCAAAAGTATAGCATTCATTTCAACGTCTATTATTTTTTCTAACATTTTTCAACTCATTCTTATTTCTTTAAACTCATTTTAATTTCTTAGAACTCCTTGAGTTTCTTGCAACACTTCGTAGTTTTTTTTTCAATTCTTTCAAATTTCTTACCACTTCTCCTTGTTTCCTTTAATTCTTTACTGTTTTTCTTACTTTTTTCTATTTGAATTTCTAATTTTTTCTAACACCCAACCATGTTTCTTATATGAGCTTGGTGTCTTCATCAAATATGATTGAATCTGATCTATATTTGTTAAGGTCTGGTCCGATTTGATATGAGATAACTATTGTCTTTAAAATAAGAGCTTCATATTTTCATCCTAAAGTAGGAGTTTGCATTCTTACAATGTGACGGTGTATATTGGTATTCTAAATTATTTTTTTGGTATTATATATTAATATCATTAGCATTGTAACTATTATTTTAGAAATAAAAATATAGAGCTTCTATGTTTATACTTTCTCTATGTTTTTACTTTTAGTTTATTGTTTTCTTCTAAAATGGAATTTTTAGTGTTATTAGCTCGATTACAATGTAGTATTACGCATATAAATATAGATTGTGCTTAATTTAAAGGGTTAAATATAGTTTAGCCCGTAAAATAGACAATTTTTTATTTTTGGCCTTTGTAATTTTTTTATCCTTACAAAATTTTTTAGTTTGAAAATAGTTATTAGTACTTATTAGCTAAGGTAATACATTCATCCCATACTCAACTTTTAGTCTTGCATTCAAACTTGCGTCTCATATGATTCACATGTCCTACATTGTATTCTTATTCGTATTGCATTGCCAAACTTTTTGAGAATACTATAATATAATAAAGAGTAAATTTCATAAATAGTTCATAGTTATAGACATTTTTCTATATATAGTCCCTATTTATCCATTACAATCGTAGTCTCTACTTCTTTAGTTCTTTTCCACGACTAATTCTCCGTCACTCATACTATTATCTACATGTTCAATGTAGGGTTGAAACAGTAATTTTCCGCATTCATCTCTCGATTAAATTACCCCTCCCCTCCTCAGATCAGCAATCCCTTAGAACCCATAATCATAGAATTTGTCTTCATTGCAAAATCACAGAGCACCAAAGTTACTGTCTTCGTCACAAATGACAATCTGAATGATGCACCCTAACCATGCAAAAAAAGGCATATATGAGGGGGACGGGTGAGGTCTTTAATTGAGAGGTGGAGATGAAAAATTACTTTTTTAATATCATATTTAACAGGTAGACAACAACATGAATGACGAAAAAATGAACATGGAAAGGAACTAAAGAAAAGGAGATTACATTGATAATATTTGATAAGTAAGGACTAAGGGGCTGTTTAGTAACTTCTGAATGGGTAAGTGCTGAACCAGTAAGAGGTCTGAACCATTAAGTGCTGAACCAGTAAGAGGTCTAAACCATTAAGAGCTAGTATATTGTTTAACTATTCAGAGGCAAATGTCTGATCAATTCAGATAAGAGCTCTTAACCATTCAGACTCTGTATAATACTTAACCATTCAGAGGCAAATCTCTTAACCATTCAGACATCTGAACCATTAAGAGGCTGAAACAAACAGTCTGAACCATTAAGTGCTGAATCATTCAGACATCTGAACCATTAAGAGCTAGTATATTGTTTAACTATTCAGAGGCAAATGTCTGATCAATTCAGATAAGAGCTCTTAACCATTCAGACTCTGTATAATACTTAACCATTCAGAGGCAAATCTCTTAACCATTCAGACATCTGAACCATTAAGAGGCTGAAACAAACAGTCTGAACCATTAAGTGCTGAATCATTCAGACATCTGAACCATTAAGAGGCGGAAACAAACAGTCCCTAAATATGAAAAATCATGTATTAATAAGGATCATCTATGTAATTTACTTTATAATAAAATTTAGAAATTGGAGTATAGTTTGAGGGAAAACATAATTTAGTGTATGAAAATTGTGTGGGAGATGATTAGGAATTGAAAAACCATGAGATTGCTTGATTATAAAAATAAATGTGTTATGTTCATTAATTTAATAATAATTATGTTTAAAAACCATTTTCAAAATAAAAAAGTTTGTAAGAATTATTTAAACAAAGAAAAGAATGAGATCTGAAGATTTTTAAACAAAAAAAGTTTATTCAAAATATAATTCCGAATACTATGATAAATTAGGTAGAATATATTTTGGAAAAGAATGAGATCTGAAGATTTTTATCACAAAACCAGGATATCCCATAGTAATTTTGTGTATTTTATATGAATTAAAAAACATACATAGAACCAGTAATGCAAAGCAAGGTGCTAAACCAGTTTAGCGATGAAATGAGGACCTATATGAAATCCCCTTCTTTCGATCGTTACTTCTCAGTTTTCACGTTTTCTTCCAAGCTCTCCGTTCGGACCTGGATGATCTTTCTCCTCTCTGTTACCTTTATCTCTTATTCTCTCCCGACCTGTAACGGTTTCTCCTTCTCCTTCTTCTCCTTCTTCTTCTTCTTCTTAATACCGATCAGCAGGCTGAAAATGTTTTGATAAATCACAGATTTTTGATAGAAGTACAAGGATTTTTGAAACCATGGTGGCCTCGACTTCCCCGGACTTGTTGAAGAATACGCCATCTAATATAAGGAGGCTAGCAGATGAGATTGAGCAGTGCGAGGGTAGGAAGAAGTACCTTGCTCAGACAGCAAGTCCATCCGACGGCGGTGATGTCAGGTGGTACTTCTGCAAGGTTTCTTTAGCATTAAATGGTTAGTTCTTGCCCAATTTTGAGTGTTCAGTAAGATTGCATTGTTGAAATTCTAATTTGAGTTTTTTAGGGTCAAAATGGTTTTTGTTTGTTAGGTTCAGATATGAAGGTTTTGCATGCTATTGATTATGTAATGGAAACATTCATGTTAATACTCCAAGAAATCAAAATAATCTCTGGTGCTCAAGGAATTTACCTTTTTTATTTTTAAAGAATAATTGTCTAAGATTACAAATTGATCACACATACTCATAAAAAATGGAGGAACCGTGTAAAATGAAAATTTTCATGAAGTATTATTGTAAAGATATTTGAACTCTCGGAGTATAGGCTATAGTTATTTGATCTTGAGGTATTCTTTTAAAATATCAAATTTCAGGGAGTATTGATATGAATTTTTCTATTGTAATTTCGTGGACCTTTTACTTTTTAGATTTAGGTTTCCGAAAACTTAATGAGATGATCTAAAGAGAAACCTGAGGTGCATGTCTAACCATTGGAGTTTTAGCCCCATAATGTTTCTGTATTCTAACAAAACAAAAAGTAAATATTGGAGAAAAGGAAAGGATATTTAATAATGTTAAGCCATGAAATGCTTTCTTCAAATTTTCATAAATGTGCGCGTGTTTTTTAAACAACTCGGAGAGATTCATTCCTCAGACATAATAAGGCTAAAAAAAATCTTTTCCTGGACAAACTTACATCCATCATTTGTTAGCAGAACATGCTGCTGCTGTTCCTCGCACACCAATAGTTGGGCACGGTGATTATTTTAGATTTGGCATGAGAGATTCTCTAGCTATTGAAGCTTCATTTTTGCAGGTACTTTCATGTAATTGTACACTCTTATTTCTCAAAAGAATGCTATTTTTCTGGTCAGCTTTCCGTGATGCATTTATCAATAATTTTATACATTGGGAAACATATCACATAAAAGTCAAGTGAGAATAATGTGAGAAGGAACACCTTGCGCAATAAGCTTTTCCCAAGGGATAGTTGACCTGAAGTAATGGATATTCATTAAATTTCAATACAGAGCGAAGAAGAGTTGCTGTCTTCATGGTGGAGAGAGTATGCAGAGTGTAGTGAAGGCCCAAGCAAACAGCCTAGTAAACTAAGTTCAATGTTAATCGAATCTTTTCTCGAGAACTCTGAGTCGACAAAACTATATGCAACAGAAGAAGAGAGAGTGGGTGTTCCAGTAAAGGGTGGTTTGTATGAGGTAATCGACCTGCTTGCTACCTTTGGAGACTTGTTTAATTGCAATCTGCGCCCGATTTTATGATAGTATCAATTTGAATATACGGATTAGTGCAGGGTTGTTTTGAAGATATGAGCAGAGAGAAATAGTTGATCTGCCCTATTATTTTCAAATTGACCATTTTTATTCAATTTCTAATGTTTGACATAGGTCTATGGATGCTCTAATTGTAAAGAATGACTACATGCCTGTTTTAGGTTTTTCATGACTGAGGAGTAGACAACAAATATCAATATGCATTATAGAAAATGACTTGCAAGTTGGCATGATTAACAGACATGGAAAACTCTTGCAGAAATACATCACTCCCACCAATAACCTAGTAACTCTCCGCAAGTAGAAATCTAACTCATATTGGCCAATTTAACTAGATTGGAAGGTTGGTAATATATCTACCCAAATCCCAATAAGCAGGAAAGCATGTCCCAACTCGCTGAAAAAAACTTTAGCAAAGATAAGCTCTTTGGCTCTTTGCCTGTTGTGTCTACTCTCTCTTTAGCAACTTTCATGTGTAATGATTCATAGTAGCTCACTGTAATGGAATGATCTATTATGAAGGAGTAAGGTTCTAGCATTATAAATGGGCCACCAACATTAATAATCCACCAATATATTTACACTGCAAACGGTATTTGATCCCTTAGCCATGCGTTGTAAATCTGCAAGCTAAGGTAATCCTTGATTAAATACGCAGAATATAATCTTTGATTAATCATATTTTGTACAATATAAATCAAAAACCCTTAATCTTAATTTTGACTATCAGTTGAGTTATTGAAACAACCTCTCCACCTTCGAGTAGGGGCAAGGTCTGAATACACACTCCTTCCCCATCCCCAGTCCCTACTCTCGTGAGATCCAACTGGGTTGTTGTTATTGTGAGTTGAGTTATTGTTGGTGTATGTTTGGCGTAATCCAATTAGAACAAAAAGTAGGAAATTTGCTTCATTGTTCTTTTGGAAGTCCAACGTGAAACCTTCTTTTAGAGTACAATTATAACTCTTGTTGAGTAACTTAATTATTACTAGGATATTTTTTATCTTTTCTCTTGAAGTGATGCATTAAGTTCTATGATAGTCTTCTAGATCTAAAACCTATCATCTCACCTCCAAACCAATGTAAAATGGTATAAATAAACACCAGAAAATTTATAAATATTAATGGTGTGCTACTGCAGGTAGATTTGGCAAACAGACACTGTTTTCCTGTGTACTGGAATGGAGAAAACCGGCGTGTATTGAGAGGTCATTGGTTTGCGTGCAAGGGAGGTCTTGATTGGCTTCCGCTCCGGGAAGATTTTGCTGAGCAATTGGAGTATGCATACCGCTGTAAGGTATGTTTGTAGGAATGTAGTCTTTGATGTTTTCACTTGATACTGTACAAATTAGTATATTCAGATGGCATTGATTGATAGTTTGGAAATGCATACTTCAATGTTATTCATTACAATTATTTGAACACTTATACCTAAGCATGTTGTAATTGTTACTCGAAACTAGCATAACAATTATTTACAAGTATATTTTTATTGGAACTGGCCTAAGGATGCCACACACACCTCACTGTTTGAGATTGCGCGCACTTGAATGCTGTCTCATTGCAATTATTTAGAAATTATTCCCAAGCATGCTATTGAAAAAGGTTGTAACCAAGGCCCAACCTAAGCCTGCCAAAATTATAGTAACATAGACAAAAATCTAAAAAATAGAATAAATAAGAGAAGAAATTATAGGCTCATGTAAAAAGTGCAATAAAAGAAGTAACCTCTGCGTAGAAGTGAGTAAAAATAATTAGTTCTAATAAGTTATTCACACCTACATTTAATTCATTAACACCACACAAAACAACGACTTGGACTTGATTCCATTTTTGTTTACATCAAACACTTTTGCTTTTCAACAACAAACCGAGTAAATTCCCACAAAAAGTAGGGCCTGGGACTCTGGGGAGGGTGCGTACGCAGACCTTACCCCTACTGTGGAGTCAAACACTTTTGCTTTAGGTTTCAAAATCTATTTCATTCTTTCCAGGTTTCAGAACTCATTCTATTCCAACCCTATTTTGGTCTTGGCTAAAGTAAGTTGGCAAAATGTAGAGTTAAGGAGAAGGTGGGTTCTTCTTGGAAAAACTAAGTGGAAAAAATGTAGAGTTAGGGAAAGCAACAACACACTCATTTCCCAATGAGATCAGAGTGGAAAAATGAAGAGTTTCAAAAAAAGGAAAAATTTTGGGTTATTTTGGTCTTGGCTAAAGTAAGTTGGCAAAATGTAGAGTTAAGGAGAAGGTGGGTTCTTCTTGGAAAAACTAAGTGGAAAAAATGTAGAGTTAGGGAAAGCAACAACACACTCATTTCCCAATGAGATCAGAGATTCCTCCTTTCCAACTGTTAATCTTTATAAGAGATTCTACTTTAATATGTTAGGTACTCTGTATCCTTTTAGAAATTTGGGTGGAATGGTTGACCGCTTAAAATAACCACCGCTCAATGGCCCCCTACCCAAGCACATTCAAATAATGCAGAGCCTGAGTTTTATCCTTCTGCTGATGTTTTTATGCTAATATAGTTAATATAGACTCTTTCTGTAATTTTTTTCTTCTTTATGCATTATGTTGGCAATTTATAAGATTGATGAATTTTGGTTGCATGCAAATAGGTTTGGCACCGCAGAAGCTTTCAACCATCTGGACTCTATGCGGCTCGAGTTGATCTTCAAGGCTTTTCTCCAGTATGTCATAATTGTCATTCATGGAGTATCTAACCATGTTTGATAGCTTTATGTGATTGATATGTTCTATGTGTGAAGGGATTACATGCCCTCTTTACAGGAGAAGATGATACATGGGAAGGGTGGCTGAATTTTGATGCATCTGGTTTATCAAGCATTTTTCGTTTTGGAGGGAAAAACATCAAGTTAAGACGTGGATATGCCCCATCACAGTCTATGAAACCCACCCAAGTTGTTCCCTTTATCTCTACCTTTGATGAAATATATGTGTACTCTCAAATACTTCTCATAGTCTCATCTTGATTATACATTTCAAAATTGTTTTCCTTCGGCTTAGGCATTGTAGATATTTTCTTCATCCAACTATAATTTTTCATATTTTTTAAATCTTAGTCAATCCCATAATAATGTTCACTTTTCTAATTGTTTTTTCCCAATATGCTCTCTTTTGGACCTTTTAGCTATTTACAACCAATGTAAAGGGGGATGGGGCTCTATTTGAGTTATAACAATGTTAAGTAAAGTACATTTTGTTTGTTTCTTGCAAGATTGTGCCAAATGCAAATGTCTCTTATTCGGCTATTTCCAAATGAGGAAGTACATTGCATGAAAATAATAAATGGATTTGAATGTGTTCAAGGAAATGAAATATAATATGCTCAAGGTCCAATTACAAATGGTACCTATATTTATTCCTAAGAAACATATATTTTATTTATATATATTTACTCTCATCATTTGAATAAATTAAGGTTAGAAACAAGATTCGGATAGTAGATTAAAGATGAAAGTTATTTATTGGAGGTAAGAACATTTACACATCTCTTTTTCATCCAAAACTTTGAAGTCTTCTATAGAAGGTAAAAGCTGTACACTCTTATTCTTTAACTTTTTTTGTTTTCGTTTTTTGGTATTGGCCCTTTTTTTAGTGCCTTCACTAATTAATCTAGGTTCCCAATCCAAGTGAATCCATATTTCTTTTCTTTAGCATGTCACTTATGGTTGGATAATTTTTTATTAAATGCAATTACGATCTTAACAGTTATGAGTTTTATATCTGGTGCATTGAGTTGACTTTGTAACACCAAAATGGATGGCTATGCTTTTGCACGTATGAAACTGCAAAATCATTCTCATCTCAACTCTATTTGTTGCTCTTAGGATGAGTTACGTCAGAAGAGGGAGGAGGAAATGGATGATTATTGTTCACAGGTATGGTTGAGTGAATATTATGTGCTAATAGGTCTCATGTCATTCATCATAAGTTCAATTGCGAAAGATCATGTACTGTACAGTCTAGAAAAAATTATGAGGGCTATATATATTTTTGCTCAACATTACTTAACATGACATAAATATAAAAGTTCACATAGTATTTAACTAATACATTCACCAATGAGTGTTCCAGTTGGAATATCATGGAACATGTTCATTGCAACTTTTTTTCCTTCAAATTCTCGTCACTTATCATTTCAGTGCTAGATAGGGGAACATGTAAAAGGTGTTCTCCAAAGGACGGAAGATAGGTACATTGGATTCTATTTTGCATTTTGGAAAAGAAGAGGTCAAATTCGGTTTTGCTATCGAACTATCTAATTTACCAGAAAACAGAATTCCAAGGGTTGACATACTCTCCTGTTTCCATAGCTTTTTGTAGTCTTTCCTGACATCTTACCATATCATATTTTTAATTAATAGAGCACGTAGTGCACTGTTTCAATGAAGACCGTAGTTTAATATTAACTACTTTACATCTTCCTGTTGTTGCTTAGCAATTACAGTGTGAGAGTCAATGAATCTGTCTCATAGTTTATGCAAATGTCTTGCACTTTACACATTTTAAAGATGATTGTGATTATGACTGAACATAAATTGAGTTTGCTTCAAAAGCACACAATCTAATGAATAGTTTTATTGTAGGTACCAGTTCGTCATTTAGTATTTATGGTGCATGGGATTGGGCAGAGGCTGGAGAAATCTAACCTTGTGGATGATGTTGGAGATTTCCGTCATGTTACAGCAAGCCTTGCTGAAAGGCACTTAAGTTTATACCAACTTAGCAAACAACGAGTCATCTATATTCCATGTCAAGTAAACTTCCTTTTCATATTTTTTTATTGTTCTTGTTTCGTATGCTGTTCGTCACTATATCCTCTGATTTTACTTTCATAGATATTAGAATATCACTTATTGATACTTTTTCCTAATCTTTTTTTTGAACAAATGCACACAATTTTTATTCACCACATCAACTAAAACGAGTACAAATCAAGCAACCACAACAAGGCTAAACAAGCATCCCTAGCTTAGCCACACCTTTTTTAACTTAGCATTAATATAAACTCTAACATGATCCCTAATCCAAACACTACATTCGTCAGGGGGTATAATATTATTCTGCTTAATTTTGGAGTTACGAGCATGCCATATCGCATAGCATACTGCTGCAAATCCAGCTTCTACCGTTTGTCTTTGCAGCCTTCCCTTGATCATCTTGACTTCCTCCAGCATTTCTTCATTAGTTTTCGCCCTCCATTGGTGTTGCAACCACTTGCCAACAATACTCTGGACACATTTTGTATAAGCACACTCATAGAATAAATGCTGCTGATCTTCAATCCCACTTTCACACAACACACAGGTTGTGTCCATCTCCATATATTTGTTCAATCTGTCTTTCGTAGGTACTCTGTTTTTCCAACACAACCATTGGAAGAATTGATGTTTAGGAATAGAGAGCTTATTCCATAC